AGTGGCAGGCGCCTTGTCAGGATTTTACTTTGGAGGGAGCTAGCAATTAGACAATTCTTTTGATTTTCCTGACGGTTTGACTTTGAGAAAAAGTCTGCCATTTCATACTTAAATTTTCATTTTCTAAAATTTTTTTTTCTTTTACTTTTAATTTATTGATATTTACAACTGTATTATAAAAAAATAAAATTAGTAAATGTGCACTGAGGAATATAATAACATGAAATTTCTGGTTGAGAAACTACCCACTGATAGTACTCAAATAAGAAATTTTCTTTAAAAAAAAATAAAAAATCTGTTTATTATTCCTAATTCTGGTGTCTCGAGGATTTCATTTTTATAAATTAATGCCATATTCCACCAAATTTTTTTTTTTTTTATGAACTTAATTTACAACTGTAATTAATAATAAATACAACAAGTAAATATGAACAAGTAATATGACATGTACAACATGAGGAGAAACTACCCATTGGTAGCACTCCAATTATATATCTATATTAGAAGGTCCCGAGGCCATCTTCTTTTCAGACGCCTCGGAGGGTTATCAGGAATAGAAGAGGAAGCAAGGTTGGAAACGAGAGGGTTCGGATGGTTCAGAATTTTATTATGAAAGGACAGGTATCTGGATTGAGCTAAATCGGAAACATGTGGTACATTAAGGTCATTATGGATGATTTGTTTGTGACAAAGTAGGGAGCATTAAGGATTTCACGAAGGATTTTGGATGGTAGAGATTGGATACGAGAGGAATTTGATAGTTTAGTAGAGCCCCAAAGCTCGATCCCGTAAGTCCAAATTGGCCTTATTATAGTAATATATATGAATCTTTTGTAAATAGTTGGCAGTTTAGAGCGTTTGTCTAGTAAGTGCTGGAGTAGTCGGAAACGTCGGGCGGTTTCTAGTCGTTTCAGTCTGGTATGGGGGTTCCAAGTGAGTCGTTTGTCAAGGTGGAGTCCTAGGTATCGGATTTGGTCAACAGGGATAAGTGGGGCATTGTTAAAGGATACTGTAGGACAGGAAGTCATAGGTTTACGACGCTTTTTTATTTTATGATTACAATGTTTCGGCCAACACTATTCTCTCCATAGATGACGAATGGGTAACCCTAAAATATTAGGACAATTTAAATCTTCTCAGATTAACAAAAATGATATTGATTATGGAGATTTAGTTGGAAGACTCAATTAAGACTTGAAAGTGTTGGCCTAAACGTTGTCATGATAACATGAAAAAGAAATAAAATGTTGGTGGAATATGACTTTAATTTATACAAAAAAAAAAAAACGTTCATTTCAAGAAGAGACGATGAAGCTCCTAAGTCCCATCTTGCATACCTGCCTAGAGTGTGTTTAGTACCAGCTCCAACCGTCTTTCTGTTGAATAATCCTAGTTATAATCTTTAGTGTTATTTAAATTTATGAAGGATCCATTCTGAAATCAATCAATAATATTGGATACTATCATCTAACACGCGTGTCCCGAAAAGAGGAATATGAAGCTAACCCACCCTCGCAGTAATGGTTGTACTCCGTAGTACAAAGTTTTTGACTTGTTTTTTTATTTATTAAAAATTATGGCTTGCTACAAGAAGAAAACTATCGCATTGCGACTTTAAGTCCCGGAAACTTTTTCCAAGGTGCCCTAGAAAGCACTTAGCCTCAGGGGCTCCTGAATACGTTATAAGCAATTTAAAGATAGAAAAGAAGCAACAGCGGAGGACCCACCCACGGATCCTAAATTCCCAGTGAGCTGGCCCGGATTAAAAATTCATCGAGAGAAAGAGTGGTCGAGGGTCTGAATGGGTAATGCCTCGGACAGTAGGTTGGTACTACGGAATATGGAGGAGGCCCTCAGGAATCATAGCCATATTGGGTTCTCATAACGGCCTCGTCGTGTTGTGTAGATACCTATCAGGCGGATCTTATCTCAATGGCGCTCTGGCATAAGAAGGTCTTCCTCGAGGTTGATCAATTAATGTATGTATAAGATGAGTAATACATTTATCATTCTCAAGAAACATTTTAACATTTAATGATATTTTATATTATTACTGAGTTTGTAACTGGGTATGTTGACCACATCATCTGAAATAACCAACTTTTATTATGAATGAATCTATTGAGAGTATTATGAAGGTTTTAATGTACATACTAGTACACAAAGACATGTCATCGATTCTTTGCCCATCATGTTAAAAGCCATTGAACCAGTTAGTTGTAAATAAAACACAGAGTAGTAGGTGGCCATTTATAAGTAATAAGGGGTTGCTGAGACTGGATGGGCGACTGAGTGTTTGATCCTGGGGCTGAAATTGCACCCGTTCATCTTCATTATGTCTTATTAAGCTCAGTCATGTCTCTATAGCTACCGAATCATCTTCCCAACCACGGAAGAGCATATAATTGTCAATATTATCACGTTTTTTATTCCAGTATAATAACATACCAAGCTAAGAATATATACAAATGATTTAATGATGTTATATGATAACTTAACAAAATTGTATTTTATAACAGGATGTCTAACGTTTCTTTTCAACAAGATTCCCATTTATTTTCCGATTTTTCTCAATCATCTCCAGTTCCTTTTTTTAAGTTTCCAAAATTTTATTACGTTCCTTATAGAAAAAAACCCACAAATGAATGGCAGAACACTGTCGCTGAGATCATATTCTCTCCTTATCATGGTTTGGAAAAAATAAATAAGAGAGAAGTACTGTTGTAGTACTGTTTAAAAGTGCTGAGTTCCTACATGACGGTATATTCACCAGTCTATTCAATAATACTTAAGAAAGGAACACAGAGGGGATAAAGTTATAAAGAATAATAATAAAGAATAAATATAGGAGGTGAGGTGGGATTCTCAGCGACCAAAATAATGGTTTGCATTGAGCATGCTGATGTAGATAAGCAGATAATTACTCTAGTATTTTATATGAGTTCTTATCCCGATTCCCAAAAGATAGCCCTGAGGAAGACACACATGTTTGGATCGAAACGTCGGCTAACCAAGTAAAAATTCTTGACTGTAAATCCTGACAATTTTGTTTCATCCTGTTATTTTATAGATTGCCAACATAGATCCATATGGTTTTAATTAATAATGTAGGAATATGCAGAAATCTTCAGCTAATCCTTCTTCGTCTCCTTGGTGCCACTGTACCTTCTTGACTGTCTTCTGTCACCAATGCAATTCTTCCTTTCTTGATACGCATTGCTTCCAAGTCCTCTTACCAGCTTCTCCACTGGTCAACCAGCATCCAAGAACTCGACTCACCGATTTCTCTGGCATTACCAAAAATGTTTTCATCTAATTTTATTCTCACTTCTTTTTTAGGATTTCTATTGGTCCAATATTTGTTCCAAGGTGGGGCTGAATCTTCCTCCTGTAAAATTTAATGAGTGCTCTGTCTAACTTTATACAAAGCATTATCTTTATAATATCTTAAGTAGATTGACCACCAGCGGAATATGTACCGAGGTTCGAAGCAGATACAAATACACTATCTGAAGTTTATTTGTAAATTCTGTGTGTCGGCAATATTTAAATGTTTCTACTATAGACTGAAAATTTAGTTTTAATAATTGAAATATATTTCAATTAACACATCCGCATCCTCGATGCATACCACCATCTAAACCACTTTATTGGAAATTAAAAACTAATTAATATCAATTAAGTAAAAAAAAATGTAGATACAAGACACAACTAAAAGCACAGCACGGCTTTCATTAGTTAATTAACTTTTTATTTAATCTTAGTTCTTAATGATTTCAAAATAGTTAAATGATTTATACTATTTTTTTAAGTATTGACCATCAACAGGTGGCCTTTTAAGGGCTAAAAATAAACCTAATAGTTGATATCGTTACTTGAACAGATGACATGGGCCTATTGTATTCAGATGAAGCCCTTGCTCTTGAAGACATACAAATCAACTGATTTATGACTGTATAATGCTTTTACCGAGAAGAATCATTCATTGTTCGCCGCTCGGTCACAAACTATGTATGAATAGCCCGATCATTCAACCTGTGTATGTGTTCTTCCAAATTCGGCCTGGGTTATTCCAAAGTGTTCATGTCCCCACCCCTATTATTATCTTCAGATTTTGGATGCTAATTTACATAAGCTGCAATAAATATGTTCTACATTAATAAAAAAAAAAAAAATATCATCAGGTTGTTAGTTGAGTTTAGTGAATTTTGGTGTGTGGATGGATTTTTCATTTCAGTTCTCTATATATATACTATATACCAATTTAAGAATATTACATTTTATATATTTGAGTGCTACCAATGGGGATTTCAATGAAACTTGGCTAAAGTATTCTTCTTGATATCCTTTAAATTTATCTATATGACAAACTACAACGAAAAGAAGCTGGAAAAAAGTTACGAGGGGTAATGGTAAAATTAGATTCCGAATAACTCTAAAAGGTATACACTTTTTTGTCCATATTGTATATGTTTTTTTTAAAGTTTACGGGATTTCCTAAAAAAAACAAAATGGTCCCTAGATGTTTTTTATACTGCAAATTCTTTAATTTTCTTTAGCAAATTACTAATGATGAAAAAAAAAATATTTAGGTAAATAATTGGAATTAATATTTTATTTCTTTTAATTAGTTACTAGAAAGGAAATGTTACTTTCGATGTATAATTGTTGGGAAATAATAAACCATTGTGAAATAATATGCAGTGTTTTTTTTTTTTTTATGCTACTGTCAGTATCAGTAAACAGATTGAACAGTTAGAGATTAATGAGAAATTAAATATACCTGACTACGGGAACATGTCGACTATCTTATAAGAGCCCTGTGGAACAAGTTATATTCGTGTCATTCATTTTTTTTTTTGTAAGCTTTCGATTACGACTTGTTTATAATACTACACCTATGAGAAAGTTGATAATTTACTACGCTAATAATTGTGACGCAAGTCTTACCTGTCGCGTGCATTTCCTACACGGGCCAAGGAGGGGAGGGGAGGTGCAAGATGCAGCGGTCTCGCCTTAAGCGGAATCCCTCGGACCGGTACCATAAGAAAGAGGAAGTTTACAGAGACGAGAGTGGTTGGAGGTTCTGTTTAAATAATGACAATACGTAAGAGGGCCAAATATAGCCTAAGTTCCATATGGCTCGCGGGTTGCCATCTGGTTGTCTCTGCTGTTTACTGCTTTCTTTTTTCCTTTCTGGCTGCACAACTATTCCTGTACGCCATTAATTTCCGCCTGTTATTTCTGGTTCCTCATCCGCGCCTATTATAGACTCTTTTTTTCTCGTCTCCAGGTGCGCTTGTTACACAGACGTAACGATGGGCGCGCCTCAGCTTCTGTTATGAAACCGATAGCCACTCATTCTCATTTCTTTCTTCTCTTATTTTAAGTGAAAACTTTCTTAGGCGCGTTTTGTTCTTTTTTTGAGGAGAGGGAATTAGATTAAGCCGTCGGATTTCTGGAGTCGACTAATTGAATATGGATTAAAATATTTCAGAAACTAAAAATGAGACCTGCACACTGTAAGCGAGGGGATTGTTCAGCACTTCATCCTCTCTGTAATTGGCTGTTATTCAAAATTGTATCTTAAGGGGACTCTGTGTTAGAGAGCCTAAAAAGAAAAAAATGTGTCGAAAGCCAACAGATAACAAGTTTTATTGAAGATCGTGGGCGGGGTGGCCCAACGGCAACCTGATATACAAGACATTGATAAAAAATAATCAGGAGTTCGCTTCCCGGTGCCGGGGGTGTCCTTTAAATCCCCGCCCTTACCTCCTGGTCCGGCAAAACCCCGTATAATCTTAAAGGCGAAGAAGGGGAACAAAAAAAAAAGAAGAGTTTTATTGAAGATATGGTTTAAAATATCTCAGAAACTAAAAATTTGATACCTGCATACTGTAAGCGAGGGAAATGTTCAGCATTTCATTTCCTTTATAATGAGCTATTATTTATAAATTATGTTGTTAGTATTATTAGTGTTGCCCAAAATCGGTCTTGGTCTTGCACTTTGCAAGACCAAGACCAAGGCCACCTAACTGTTGCAAGACCAAGACCAGGACTGTTAAAAAAAAATCGACGTTTTTAATAAAAAATTAAGGCATAATAGTTACTAATACTCGACCATCTTAGTTACTATATGTAACCAATATAGTTTTGCATTATTTTCCTCTAATTTCTCATTCAGGCTTAGTTAGGTTTCTCCTATCTACAAAATACAGACTGTTGCGAGACTCTTGTGCAAGACCAAGACCATGACCAAACTGAGTTTGCAAGACCAAGACTCGTTTGGGTCTCGCATTTGGGCAACACTACATATTATTATATTATTATTATGCGGTCTAAAGAATTCACCTTAATTTTTATCTTTTTTTTTTACGCAAATACAAACATTAAATTGAAAACACCATATCTTTTATTAAAAAGTAATAAGACTTAATAGCATTTAAATTATATCTAGGCGTTTATTGCTAACAAATTATAATACGATTGTTTATTAATTAAAATGTTTTCTATAATCGTTTTGATAAATAAGCAATATTTAAATTAGAAAAGCGTTTATAAAGAAACATTTATACCTAGTACTAACTTTGCATTGATACCCTACTGAATAATTTTAACATCAATCATATTCATTTGTGGTTTAGACACCTTAGTTTTTTAAAAATATTGGATAGAATTTGATGAAGTTGATTCCTAATAGATTTTTTTTTGTCCTAGTAATACAATTTGTACATTATTACTTGTGTCTTAGAAAATTTTAAATTCATGTTCAGTACGTCCTAATATTTCCTAATAAATTCTACATACATATATGGATTCCTTTTTTATCCTCCTCTTGCATTGGATTTCCTACAGGGGTAACCAGAAGGGGATTGCTTGGCGCAAGTTATATCATCAAATTTTTTCAGAAGAGCACGTTTTTAATGATTTTTTAATTTTTGGAGAAAGCATCTGGTTTATGGGGTTATGAAGTTTTAGGGGAAACCTTATTTTTGTGGATTTTCAATTTGGAAGAACATTAAACTGACTACTTCAAGTTTATTTACAGAAGATCTACATTATTTTTAAATTCTATTTTCGGGTGCACTGTTTTAACAAAATAAAATTTCTAGGAAGGAGAAAGGGATATGCGTTATTGAGCTTGGTAAGGATGGGCACCCCTGATTTTCCGCAATACCAACAACAAATGTCACTATTGCTTTCTTCTTTGAAGTTAAATATTTAAAAAAAAAAAATAAATTAAAAAAAAATTACAAACCCCAAGGCTCAAACCAAATACCAAAGTACACAAGTTCATGGAAGAACAAATACGGAAAACGTACATACCTCTTGCGAAATCCCATCAAATCTTTTCTTGCCTATTTTAACCGTTGCCATACTACTCAGTTCACGTATTTACCAGATGTATGCCTCTCTTCATTGCATTGTTCTGCGTTGGAACGTTATTTGGAATATATTGCACAAGGCTTGTTATTATTAAGATGAATTAACAATAAAATGCAATCACTGAAGTTCAGTGAGTATGGTGAACTTCTCAGTACTGGTATTAAAAAAACAACCTCAACGAAATATGAAACTATAATTTAAATTTCACACTCATTTAAGATATAAGTTATATATCAAAAAGTTAAATACTGATATTTAACACGATTCCGACATGTATGAAATATTAAAAAAAGCTTAAAATAGGATTATATTGAGTCATTTTTAATTTTATTTTACCAAAACAAAAAAATCAATTTATAACTCTAGAACAGTAATGCGTGAACAGAAAATGCGATTTTTAAATTGATATTTTTTTTTCCAACGGCCTGGTATTTATTGCATGGAAAAGTGAAACCATCCAAAAGAATATCCCGCGTCCTTATGAATAGGTTAAAAATAAACGAACACAACACATTATGTAATATTTGACAAGAGCTAACAGACAATGGTATGCATGCATTACTGCGCTTGTTTATACAGCGCTGGGAGCACCGTTTAAGACTTTCTACTTTTTTTTTTCTTTGAAAGACAAAATTCAAACTATTTGCCTCTCTTGTGATATTTTTCCTCATAATTAAGTGATTCATAAGTACCACAAAATCAATAGAGTTTTTTTAAATTATTTTTTTACCTTATATGGAGTCGTTGTCAACAATAAACAATATTCTGTAAATGTAAAAAAAAATATTATTGATGTTAAAATTGTTCAGTAGGGTATCAAGGCAAAGTTCGTACCAAATATAAATTTTTCTTTACAATACTTAAATATTGCTTACTTATCGAAATGGTTATAATAAACATTTTAATTAATAAAAATGAAATTATAATTTATTAACAATAAATACCTAGCTATAATTTAAATGTCATTAGGTCTTATTAAATTTTATTTTTAAAAAAATGGAGTTTTCAATTTAATTTTTGTATGTGTAAAAAAAATTAAGATAAAAAACTAAGGTGTGTTCCTTAGACCGCACAATAGAAGTGAAAACATAAACAAGGCGACAAAAATAATATGAAATATAAATTATTAATAATAGCTCATTACAAAGATAATAATTGAAATGATGAACATTTTCCTCGCTAAAAATATGTAGGTCCGATTTTTGTTTTTTGAGAAAATATAATCAATATGCAAAAACCCGCCGACTTAACCCGAGCGTTACAAATCGGAAATCTGATGGCCCAATCTAATTCATTCTATACAAAACAAAAGTGCGAAAGGCGCCTAATTTTGCAGAGAAATTTTCATTTCAAGTACACACGCTTTCGGTCATTCTTAAAAATCATTACAGACATGAAATGATTCTGTATTTCATTTCTGTTTAGTAATTTTCGTTCAGCGAATCTTAACTTCAGAAATTTAATTCATTTCGGTACGTTAAGGTGAATATTTATAAAATGAAAAATGGTCACTTTAAAAAAAAAAAAAAATCACACTAAAAAAGAGTTATCTACAAGGTTTTAATTATTATACTATTATAATTATATATTATACTAAAGATTGTGCTTTGATAACTTTTATTGGAAGATAATTTCTTAACAAATATTTCTTCACATATTTCATAAAAAATTGCTCAATGTTACAAGAGAACGTAAATGATTAGAAGAAATAGTTACAATGCTCAGATAATATTGATTTAACAAAGTTTTTGATACAATAAAATATTATTTTGGATGATAAACGAGCTTATTTACGAAATGTTTAAGACATACAACGCTCCTTATTGGTAAGAAGGGATAACAAGATTTTAAATCCTGGAACGACTTAACAAGCTACTAGATCACAAACTGTTTCTAAGCTGTATTTAATGACCTAAGTTACTTTCTCTCCTAATTTAGCTCAGAGTTTGTTTTAACTTCTCTTAAACCTGCCAAGAAACCCATTTCAGGCGCTTTTTGGGTAATTTATTGCTAACATAAAAACACGTATAATCAATATGAACCAATTATCCCTTATATCCTGCTGTTGGTTAGGATATCCCGTTATCCAGCTATAATCGGAAAAGGAATACCTTCTAGGGGGCCTGAGGTGCTGTTGATCCAAGACGCGGAAGTTTCGCTTCCTCAGGAGCCTGCTCGACCGTGGAATACTAAATCGAAGAAGACTTCCGGAGGAAACAATAGACGCTGATGCCATCGTCTACCTTAGATGGTAACCTGCCCAGACATTCTGCCAGGCCTTAGAAGTCCCTGTCAACGACCTGCGATATTTCTAGATAAAGTAGGGTTGGTTGTCTTGTCAAAATCTCCCTCGATACTTTCACTAGACTACACATTTAAATATACAGTAGAGGAACGCTTTACACTTAAAAACATCACCATATGTCCACATCAGCAGAGAACTAATCATAATCGACAATTTATCTGGAAAAATATAGGCAATTACGCAAGCATACCTTTCTGCTAAGTAGGAGTCTCCAAACTATGGCCAGCGAAAGTTTCTCTGATTACACGGTAAAATCTTTTTAAAAAATATTAAGTTTAGTAAATTTTCACCACAAACCATAGCCAGCGAGATTTAATTTAAGTCTTAATGTGGAGTCAAAACGTTTGGAGATGCCTATGCTAAGGTATCGCTTGCAGTCACAAGAAAACGCAGGGACAAACTTTTAAACATATTAGAGTTTACTTAAGAGAAAACAGTTTCTCCCACGGATGATTACTAATCATTCACGCTGAAGTGCTGTAAGTTTACTTTAAATAGTTTATAACGTATCGCACTTGTAAAAACTTCTTTAATGATAGTTTCTGGCAAGTTGGTTTGTTTTAGCCCTTTTGTTTTTCCACATAAATTTTGAATTTGAGTCTAGCCAAATGAAGTTATAGATGTAGAACTTTATCATTTTTCACTTATTAATACAAATAAATCAGTGAGATATCTATAAATTTAGTGTGAAAAAAAAATCGGAATTTCTCTATCCAGGAAGAATGTTTTAGCAAGAGAATCTAGATTGGTCTCGTGAAGATTGGAATGATCAATCACCGGCTAAAAAATACAGAGGTGGATTTTTCTTTTAAGGCCTGAGAGATCTGTATTTCCTAACGATTAGGTCCTATTTTTTTTATTTATTTATTTTTTTATGGATATTGGAATTATTAATTCTGTTTACGGATTTTTTTTTTTTGTGTGTTTTAACTATATGATTATTTAATAATTTATTATAGCGTTTTAAATTCAGATGTCTAGAGTCATCAAAATGAAACTACTTAACTGTTAAACCTCAAATATTCATACGATAAAAAAAAAAGTTCAGTGAATTATACTTTTTTCATAATGGATATATTTTAACAAATATATTATTACTATAGAGGTTCCATTTTTTTTATAGCTTTATTTATTAATCAGGTTAATTTGTTTGTTTTTCCATCAGTTTTACAAAAAGTCTTGCAATATCGAGGTAACTTAAATATAAATAAAAACTATCGGAACGAACTCTCATATATTAAAAAATAACAAATAGATATATTTGTAAAGTTATGATGGGAAGGTGATGAAAATAATCCTACATTGTAAACACTAATAGTGCGCGTCAATCCTAAAACATGTAAATGATTTAAATATTTTGTTATTACCCAAACTGAAAAGGGCCATCACAGACGTGAAGATATCGACAGTCTCAATGTGAAATAGTTACATGGTTTCATATAAGTTTCATGTGATTTCAAGCGGGAAAAACCAGTTTTTTACTCTTTTTAAAATAATCGTGTATAACTTTAGCATTAATTTCAAACCAATCATTCCAATATTCAGAAATATTTAATTAAATAATTAATTAGAGCAAGCAATGACAAGCGGAATTCCAAATATGGAACACTCCGGTTTAATTCAACTTACATTTACACCCTAAAACCTGTTTAGTAAATAATTAACAGCTAGAATGGTTAAGGAATTTTTAAAACAAGTAAACATTAATATAACACACTACAATATTAGATATTATTAAATCAGTTTTTTTCTGGCATGAAACAGCATTTAAAACGTTATAGGATCTGTTTTGAATTTTGTCTGGGAATCCTTTGAAAAATTATATTATCTAATCTGTTTGGAAGATATTGACAAGCTTTTCACTAGATTTAATTGTTCTTCCCAATCTAGGATGAAAAACAAACTCAAATAGAGGACAGAGAAATCTGACGGCCTCGAAATTATGAATAACAATCTATTGGTCTGTAATTATTCTTTTACATCAGAAATAAATTTGAGTTCTGATCGTAAAGGATAGATTGACTCGAAAATAAACAAATCGTTGCCTTAGGTTATTTTGATTAATAGCTTCGATTCGTGTCTACTGCTGACTTATCACTTGGATTTATTAAAGTCGTGACTTATGTATCGTTGAGGTAATAGAAACCAACTGGTCATTGTCTTGGTTCGTTCGATAACGTGGAGAAGTTGTTGAAGAACCGTCTTAGTCGTGTAAGCATCAAGTCTATCAACAGTTCAACAAACAGTTTGAAAGGGCTAATTCAAGGTCTATGAATGGCTATCCATAGACCTTTTTTTTAAAAATAGAAAATTGAATCGTTAAACCAAAGTAATTCAAAACTCGAAAACATTAAATATATTATATAATTTTTTATTTATTCATATATACTATATTTGCAACTACAAACGGATACGATATTTTAGTAATGAGATTCCTAACTAACTAATAACTAATTTTATGTCAGAAAATTCTTGTGTTTTAGGTTCATATTATAATTCTTTCTCATAAGTGTTTTCTTTTGACCTATCCAAACCTCGAAGCAGTACTCTATATATGGTCTTCAAAGAAACTACAGATTAAAATTGTGTCTAACCTTATAAAATATTCCTCGTAGCAATGGTACAGAGTACAGGATATTAGATAAGAATAAAATTAAGATATGGTTAAACGGCCGTTGATGGTGAGTAATTAGCTAATTAACAATTAGTTAACTACTGTCTATGACGTCTAAGCGAAAGGAAATTTCGTCTGTTGTGTAAGATAATTCATTTCATTCATTTTGCCACATTCATGAAATGGCTTGTTTGATTAATGATGTGATGTATTCCATAAGTTATTAAATATTTCCAAGCGAAAAATAAAATATAAAATAATGATTTCTATTATTTGCAAGAGTAAGACTAAGACCGCCGAATTTTTCCAAGACCAATACCAAGACTGGTAAAAAATAATCAATTTTTCGAAAAAAAATTAAGGAAAAGTAGTTACTAATACTTGACAATTTTAGTTACTATATGTAAAGAATCGGTATGACCGAAATACTATTACATTTAACTCTTCTAATTTTTCATTTGGTCTTAGTTAGGTTTCTCCTATCTAAAAAATCACAGTTATATCTCTATAGTAATAAGCTAATAGGCAACTGCAAGACTGTTGCGAGACTCTTGTGGAAGACCAAAACCAAGACTGAGTGCGCAAGACAAATACCCGTCTTGGTCTCGTATTTGGGCAACACTAATGATTTCATACAAAAGTTTAATGAAAAAATATTAATAGGACTTATTTTGGCCCATTAACTGTAATATTTGTCAATAAAAACGTTTTATTAGAAAATATTAGTTTCTGTTCAATGTTTATAAACTACATATATCTAATACTTACATTTTATCTCATTTTAGTTATTTTATTATTATTATTATTATTTCATTAGTCCCCATCTTAGTTTATTTAAACAAGTAAACAAGTTTATCTCATTAGTCCTCAACTTTGTTACTGTTATTATTTATTTGATAAGTTCTTTTCTATTACCGTTAGTTACTCTATTAGTTCCTCGCTATTACTGTTATTAGTTATTTCGTAAGTTCCTCTCTTTTACTGCTATTATTTGTTTTACTTATGTTCCTTACATTATTTTTTATTTATTTAATATATACATATATATTTTTTTGCATAAGTTAATAAGTTACTCGTATTGTTATCTGGTCTTTTCTTAACCCTGATGAAGGCCTGAACTTTAGGCCGAAACGTCGGCAAATATAAAAATAAATATTGCATATTTAATAGTTGACCGTTGCATCATAAAGGAAGGAGATGGTCCGGGGTGGCGGTCATAAATAGGCTAAATAGTGGCAAAACTATTTTATTAAAAGCCCATTGCATCTTTGCATATATTATATATTACACTACAAAAATTTTTACCATCTATTTACTTCAGTTTAGGATCTTGTTGCTCAGCTTGCTTTGTTTATATTTTAATATACTTATTGTTTATAATTTTAATAAGCTTATTTACATTGTTTATAATTTTTTGTCACAATATTATGTTACTTCAACAATTCTCTAACTTTGTGTATCTTGTCCGTTCTAGTCCTGAAGGAGACCTGCAAAGCCGGGTCGAAACGTAAGGCTTTTAATAAAATAGTTTTGCCACTATTTAGTCTATTTATGACCGCCACCCCGGACCATCTCCTTCTTTCTTAAAAATAAATATCATTAATTTATTTTTAATTTGTTTATTTTTGACTGAACACCCCAACCAACATCTCTTTAATTAATTAAACAGTCAACCATCATACCACTTTTATACACTACTTTTTCTATTGATTGTATCTTTGGCTTTACTTTGCCGATTGAACTTAAAAAAACATTGTGAAGTTACATTTTAAGTAGGAAAATTGATAGTAATTGCGAGATGAAGTAGGAATATTACAGAGGTTGGTGCTTCATCCTTCGAGGTAGGGAAGAACCGGTCTGACATTCCTCGCCAGATCTGAGGTTGCGAAAAGCCTCTCATAAAGGGAGCCTTTACACCGACATTATCATGCAAATTCTGGTACACTACAGCCTCATGTTTAATAATCGATCTCTCCTACGAATCGATGTATACCTTACGATATGATCTCAATCGGGTTTGAAAAAATTTATCATTCCTATGTTGAGGGAAACTCTTCAACTACTAAAGGCTAATATAATAAAAAAATAATAAAAATCGAATAAATAAATAAAAAAAACTTTACTATTCTCTTCAGTTATCTCTTTTATGAAAACTATCTCACTGCAATATTTTAATCTGTCAAGTTGTAATTACGATGCATAGGACATCAAGCATATATCAAACACGATCCGTAAATCAGTAATTTTGATTATTTTTTAGAGCTAAATTAATTAAAATATATTAGTTTTTTTAAAAAAATGTAAATACATA